TTGCAAATTTCGCTCTCGTGTCTACCGAAGACAATGTTTCCCATTTGATTCTCCGGTTGCTTCTGCCACCAGATCGTCGTATCGTACTTCATTTCTTACAGCGCAGCATGCCAACAACAGGGTGATGATCGGTTAAAAACACTGCACATCCCTCAAAGCAGACATTCATCAGATCATCTTAAGTCAGGCGATATGATTATCAAATCTGTCATCGATTTTTGTGCACGAACTTCCCGGTGCCATATATACTGATGCACTCTTTGATTCTCGAAGAAGATGTTCAACCGAGAGTCCGCTGCTTGCTCAAAGCCGCAACAACTTCATGCCGTGATTGTTGAGGTCGCAGGAGTCGTTTTTTTTAATCATGCCGTTCTACTTCCCAGCGTTTACTCCGACATGTGTATTAAACCCATGAGTATGAGAGACTCCATATTCGGCACTTCGTACACAGAACACACTACACTTCCTCAAGGAAGGTGTCATATTCTCTCTTCAAATTGGACGCATAAACCTCACTAAGGTAATCGTTTCAGCCTGTTGTAGCTTCAGTCGGAGGATTGCAACTCTTCCGCTGACAAGCTTCCAATCAATAATTCTCAATAATTCAGGTTCTACTAGAACACCAACACCAGCCTGAGTGCGCTTCCAGATATCGACACATGAGTAGAATAGCTTACACCCGCAGTGGTTCAGGATTCCAAGGCTTCACGCTTCGTTGACGAGAGTCCAACCATGTCGAGTTGGTAGCTTGTGGCTTCATCAAGTAACTCTTGCCCTTTCCCTCTGAGTGTAGATATATTCCGATTTCCGACTATAAGCTCCCACTGGTTATGTCGTTCTAGTGGAAACCTTTTCTGACGTGCTATAATGGTAACGCGCTGTCTGCCTCCTCCTTTCAGAACTGACAGCGACTTCGTTGCTAACTGGCACCTTCGTCCTCGTTCGTCGTCAGCCGCTGTTGTGCTGCTACACCCCCGCCTGGCAGAGGGCGATGAACAGGTTCTGATCATCGACTCTTCGCACCTGCCTCAATACCCCAACAACCTGCGCAGCCCTTGGTAACCGGACGATGACCGAGCCGGAACAGGTGGCGAAATTGCGGTGAGCAAGTGGCGAAATCTGATGGAGACTTCGCCACGGTCTCGAAAGCTCCTTTTTTCTCAGCCTGGCTTGGGACCGGCAGGGGCGGCGTTGCGAAATACAAATATAGTACAAATCTTCCTGCATTATACCATGGTGGACATAATAATTGATTCAATTACCAATTTAACGAATTTCATACCGTTACATGTCGTCTTGTCTCGCTATAGTACCCGTGAAAT